CTGGCTGGATCTGGCACCTCCCCATCATCCCTCAGGCTCTGGCCCCCCATGGCCTGGGCACATCGAGCTCTTGGGGCCAGCTGTGCCATGGCCGGTAGCCCTGGCTGGACACCCGCACCAGTTTTGAGGATGAGGAGGTGCAGGGCGTCATCGCGCAGGTAGGATGCAGCCGCGATCTCGTGGGTGGGGATGCGCAGGATGAGCTCCTCGTTGTCGCGCCAGGTGAGCAGGAGGCAGCGTGCAGAGAGGCTGAGGATGCTGTCCTGCTCTGGCGTCGTCTGCAGCGGCAACTCTTTCAGCTGCTGCAGGGGCAGAACAAGTGCCAGGGATGTGGGGCACCCAGCAGTGTGGGGCACCTGGCACCCATCCTCTGGGCAGTGCGGGAGGGGCACACTGGGGGTGTCAGGACCCCTCTTACCCTGGCTGTGTCCAGCAGCTGCAGCACCTCATCCCGGCTGGAGGGGTTAAGGGAGGCTGTCACCCATGTCAGGTGGCCTAAAAACTGGGGGGGCACAAAACCCAGGGCAGCTTGGAGAGGCTGGGGCCAGGGGACTGGGGCTATGCATCCTCCCCACCCCATGGCCCAGAGCCTCCCCCAGAGCACCCACATCCACATGGGCAGGATGCATCTCCCTGGGGTGCCAGCATACCCTGCAATGGGAGGTCTTCCCTGCACCCTCAGCCCACCCTTCCCCTCCCTGGGTGTTGCCTGGGCAGGAAGGGGACCAGGACCCTCCTGGCCACTGCAGGTGGTGACCCTCTGCATGGTGCAGTGGCCTTGTCCCCCCCACTGTGCACAGGTAGGGACCCCGGGCATCCCTGGAGACCCCCCACGCCCTTACCTTCACCTCCTTCTCCACGTAGTCATGCAGCAGGATCTGGGGGTCAATCAGGTAGTCAGGAGGGTAGAGGGGGTCGCCCCCCCGGTAGCGTCTGCTGCGGGCAGCCGGCCTCCGAGCCGCCTTGGGGAAAACCAGCCGCTTGATGGGCGACACGAAGCCCTGGCAGGGACAATGGGCACGGGAGATGTCAGCACCAGGCGCCCAACCCTGGCACCCATGCATGGGGTCTGCAGGCACCCGGTGCCCAAGGAGGGGCCGGGAACCTCTCTGCTCGCTGACCCGAAATTTGCACCATTTGGGCTGTGTAGGGGGCAGTGGGTGGGGACCCCACCTCTCCCTGCTGTGCCGCAGGAGGGGGTGCAGGGTCTCTTGCCCCAGCATCTCTGCGCATCTCGCCTGCTCCCACCCTCCCACCAGCCCCCCCGGACACCAGCCCCAGGGCCACGCACCTTCTTTCACTTCTTGGCCTCACAGTCCATGGTGAGGCTGTGGCGGGTG